GCTGCAAGCAGCCCCCCCCTGCCCTGCCCCCTGCCTTCCTCCCTCATTCCTCCGCCCTCCCCCGCACCTCTAACTCTTCCCCTCCTCTGCCTTCTCCCCTCTCCCCCATGCTCCAAGACTTCACGCCATGCTGTAGGTGCCTGCCCTTTTGTCTGCTTGCTGGTAACTTTTCCTTTTTTTTTGCTGCAAGCCCACCAAAATAGCAGAGCGCACCATTTTTGCAGAGCCTGACATTTTTCAAGGAGCCTGCTCAATGTTGTTTTCCGCAAAACACTGCACAATTGCAAAGTCGGTAGGTCCCTACATATCACCCCTTTCAATTCCCAAAACACATAGAAAAGGAAAAATACAAAAATTCAAGAATTACTATCTTTTTTCTTTTTTTAAACAAGCTTTTATGTGGCCAGTAAGATATTAACAACTGCAACACAATAGGGAAAATATAAACCTAGTGCCAGATCCTGATGTGGCATTTATAAAGCTTACTTTTTAAGAAGAGGAATTCCTTAAGGGTATACACAGATGTCTCCAAATGAAGCAGATCAATTGTGTCAGAATATATGCTGGAACAGCTGATCCACTTTGCTGGGACACACACACATTGCCCATTGATCCACCTCTTAATCTCAAGGGACAACAGATTATGTGTTTCTTGCTTGCAAAGACTTGTCCCAGAGATTCCCTGGGCATGTTTCTGCAAGCAGAGAAAGCCAGGCTCTCGTGTTGCCCCAGGGATGGGACCGCCAATCAGCTGATTGGTGGTCCCAGCTCCATGACCTCATTGAGTATCCATGCCCACCTGGGGAATCTTAAATGAGGAAGCCCAAGCAGGACTGATCTTCAGAGGCCTCATCCTGTACTGTGAACTCCTGAGACATGCAACATGAGGTCCTTGAAGCCCTGGGAGTGCCTTTGTAGGGTGGGCTGAATCCTGTAATCCATCTTCCTAGATGTCTGTTGTAATTGCTTGTTTCAATACATGGTCACACTGAGATCTCAAAATTGTGCGAAAATGGAGACAAGTTCCACAATGAATTTCCTAACTTTTGACACTTAAAATTAGATTTTAAGGTTAAAAGGAAGAGTTTATTAAGCATTAGAAAGTCTGGCTGAATCCCCTGCCTAGCTCCTTTTAGGTACTCAAGTCCATTCCTCAGTCCTTTCCTCTGCTCTACCTCCTGACTACAGTCCTTCTACAGTGTCTTAAGATAATTATTTAAGAATAAAAACCTTCAATGTGTCCTCTTAAGATATGAATTTATTCAAATACCATGTCTCTGAACCACAGAAAAAAGGTTATTGACAGGGAGAAAGAACTGGCATGAATGACATAAGTAGTCCAGCAGAGAGGTCAGAATATTACCTCTGGCACTGTTTTAAAAGTACTCATTCATGACATTACCATTGCCAGTACATAATTAAATACAGTAATACATATAACTAAATACTGTACAACTGGGATAGATTTTGCTGCATATAAAACAAGAAAGTGAGATTACAATCACTGTTAATAGTCTTACCTGGCATGCCATGTATGAGGTCACCACATAATACAAAAAACTTGGGCTTGGGATTTAGCTTGTTAATGGCCTGCACAGCTTGCTCTGTTAATTTGAGCTCCTCTTCCCATTCATCACCTCCACTGCCACAGTCACCAATTGCCCAGGCTTTCATCAGCCCAAATTGAGGATCTGCTCCTTGAATGAAGTAAAAGGGGGCTTTCCACTGATATTCTTCATCTTAGAAAGAAAAAAAGAAAAGAAATATTGGAAAAAACTTGGAGAAAAGATTTTTTTCCCTCTATTGATACTAAAGTGAATAGTAACTCTCATTACATTAGAGGCCACTTTAATAGAGTACAGCAAAACTATGAAGTTTTCCTTTTAGAGAGTAGAACATTTTTATTTATTGCAATCATTGAATGGCACCATACTGGTGCTTGATGACTAGGGAAAGTGTGTCAACTAGGAAGCAAATATTACTTAAAACTACAATGTAGCTCAACAGCATGAAACATAAGGTTAAATTTCAATGATTGCATTTTTAATTAACAACTTAAAAATGCACACTAAATCTGATGGTGCCAAGAGAGATATACTTATTACTGCTATATTAAATACCTTTCAGTATCATCCTACTAGAGAGAAGCTGAAAAATTCACTTATTGGTCAGTTTTAGCCACTAATAAAGCACTAAACAGAAAGGAAGATGGCAAGCCAGCAAGAATACAAGCATTCTCTTCTCAATCAAAGCAGCTCTGGGCTACATTACTGACTCACCCATTATCCCATCTGAGCTTTGGACTAATCCTCTGGCAAACTTGTCATGCCTTTTACAATTTACCCTCACAAAAAGTACTCCCCTCCACTTCATTACACACTTCTGTAATTCCATTGCTTCTCTTCTCCCCCATGCTTCATTATGCTTTCTGTTATGCTACGCAGTATTAAATTTAAGTATTACATTTTTAATTCAGTGTTACTTAAAAACATAAAAAACAATAAAAGGTACATTGTGAGGCAATACCCTAGGTTACTGCTTATTCCATGAATTCCCCTATTTGCTAAATTCTGTAATTCACATCAAGCTTCCAAGTCATTTAGTGAGAACTACCAGCATCAAATAAAAATCTTAATTTAGAATGGTCATAACAACTCCTGACTGAACTGTATAACAAAAAGGCATTAACTTTCGAATAAACTAAGATGCGCTCAATTTTTTTAACTTTTTAAATCTATAGACACATGAAGGAAGGTCTAACACTTCTGGCCTTTCAGTTATTTTTGTTCTCCTGCATTTCAGATAACAGTAACAGACGTTGCAAAAAGAACCAAGATAGTTGAGATTGATAACAAAGAGGCAAAGAACACAAATGCTGATCACTCATTCATGAAAAATGGAGACCATATTTGGCTACCAATAAAGGAATATAGCTGTCTTAATATTTGGGCTGTAGTCTCATTTTCTAAACTGAAGCATCAACTTAAGAGTACTGCCTTAATCATTTACAAGTATTTATTTACATCTCGAGTGCTTGATTTTGGATAACTCCACCTGGGTTTCTCACTTTTGCTCCTTTCCTTTCAAGTACCTCTGACTTGCACTTTGTCTTACACATATAATTTTAATTGATACTAAAGTAAGGATAAAACTGTACCCCAACTTCAATCTGAAAATGAGCCAGAAATAAGATTATGCAGTAACTTCAAACTCAAAACAAAATTAAATCTTGAATAGCACTGGGGAAAATGTCAGTCACATTTTAAAAACACAGATTTGAGTTAACAGTGTAACACTAGACTAGTCATGCAATAATGTTGCCTGCCCTTGGTCTTGTGGAGTGTATGCACAGGCAATTTATTTCTGGTTCCTTTTTAACTTACTTGATAGTGCTCAAACATGTTCATATAGGACATTCATTTGTAGCCCTGTGAAGTCCCAGAAGGTGCTTTATTTTACATGTTCTATTTTATTTGTTATGGAAAAACCCAAATCCTGTCACTGCAGTGCTACAGAACAAGAACTCTTAAGTTGTAATCATGGAAATGTTATGAAGGTGGCAGAAAGTGAATTAATGGAGAGACTGCCCCAATGCCAATGAAAGTTCAAGTGTTCCTACTATTTTCACATCCTTTAGCTGAATTTAGGTTTCCATATTTTGACTATTTTAAAAGGTTTTAAAATTTAAAAAAAATGAAAACTTTGTGTATTAATTCACATTATCCATTATCAAAGATAAAGAAAAGTTTTATTGATTTAAATATTTTTTCATTAGTTTTGAAATCTGAAAAGCAGCCATCAACTTTTGCACATGTACAAATCTAATTCAAGAAAATAAGTTACCTTCCATCCATGAGTTTTCAATAAAGCCACTGAGAACTGAGTGAATGACAAAGTAATTTATGTTTTAGTTGTCAATGTCTTTCATGGAAAACAGGAAATATGACGGCCATAACATTAACTTATGTGCTGCATCAAAGATATTGTTTGGTTTTAAAATGGAAATCTATGAGAAACTGAGTTAAAGAAGCCTGTATTTTGCATGGCTCTTACACTTGCAGAAATGTTTGTGACCCAGCCAGCAAGAAATAAGAAAACAAGTGTTTGAAACAGCTGTTTTGTTTGAAGGAGTAGGAAGCTTCCTGATATTGCTGCTACTCAAGTTTCCCCATGATACAACCAAGTGCAATTGCTTCTTAGACAAACTTGGTTTTCATTGGAGCACAGAGCAGTTATGTTGTTGCTACCAAAACCCATGAATACAGCTATGAAACTCAGTCATTTTCACTACTACATGGAGAGTTCTCAACAGCAGCAGAGACAAGCACTACTGGTATTCACTGAGAAGAAAAAATGGAGTTTGTGGGGTATTAGAGGCCCCTCTACATATTACAGGTATTGCATAATTAACTGGTTAATTGAGTAATTACTTTGACACCAGCTACATGTACCTATCACTTCAGAAAAAGCTCCAAACAGCTATAAAGTCAGACCTCAAAACAAGGTACTAAGGTGGCATTAAAAAAGATCATCTTGGCCGAAAAAGAGAGCTGATGATTAATCAATCACATTGGCCAATGCTCATGCGATAAGCCATGGGTGGGCAAAATACGGGCTGTAGACTGGATTTGGCCTCTGAGGCCATTCTATCCAGCCCACGGGGCCCCTAAAGAAATAAGAAAATTGACATTTATCTGCCCATGATTCCTGTAAAAAATGACAGGAACCATGGGCAGTACAACCCAGGGGAAGCCCAGCAGGCTCCCACAACAGCAGGTCCCACCCAGCCCCGCCCCCCCGGGACCACATGGCTGCACCACGCTGGAACCGCAGGTAAGGGGGAGGGTTAGGGGAGAGGGCAGGAGAGGACCCCGGGCAGGGAAGGAGCTCAGGGAAAAGCTGAGCGCAGGGGGTGGGGGAAAGCGGTCCCTCGCTCACCCCGTGGCCGGTGCCTCCCACGCTGCAGCCACTCACAGCCTGCCTGGGGCTGCCTGTGCTTGCTCCTCCCCCCCACTCCCCGCTCAGCTTTTCCCTGGGCTCCTTCCCTGCTCCTTCTGGGCACAGAGGAAAGCGGCTTCTCCCCCACCCCATGGCCAGCGCTCCCTGCTGCAGCCACTTGCAGCCCATGCAGCGCTGTCCTGAGCAGGCACAGGCAGCCCCACACGGACTGTAAGCAGCTACAGTGCTGGGCGTCGGCCACAGGGCAGGGAGGGGCTGCTTTCCCACCCACCCTATGCTCAGCACCACCTTGTAACCTGGCCCCATTGCTAGCCTGCGCCCTGCACCAGCTCCAGGCTCACTCATCAGGACTGCATGTGGTAACGGCAGCTGTAGCTGCTTGCAGCCCACGTGGGGCTACTGGTGCCTGCTCCAGACAGCCCTGCATGGGCTGCAAGCGCCTGCAGCAGGGAGCGCCGGCCATGGGGCGGGCAAGAGGCCAGTTTTCCCCATGCTCAGCACCAGCTTCTTCCCTGCCAGCGAGCAGGGGGTCGGGGCTGTGCGCTGCCCCCACCTGTACTGTGGGGCTGGGGGGCACTGTGAATGACTGGGTGGGGAGCCAGCAGGGACACGGGGCCCGCAGCAGGGGCCCAGAGCAGGGTGGCAGGGGTACAGGATCTCAGCCAGCAGGGGCTCTATGGAGCCGAGCCAGCTTCCCACTCTCCCTGCTGGTGCAGCTCAGCCCAGATCCACAGACCCCTGCCACCCTGTGCCCTGTTTTGGGCCCCACCGGTGCTGGCCCTGGGACATTGGTCCCAAGATGGTGACCAGGGAGCAGGGCTCCTGTCAAGGGGCAGGGCTATCCATCCGGCCCTCGACAGCCTGCCAAAACTGGGTAAGGGCCCCTACGCCCAAAATAATTGCCCGCCCCTGTGATAACCAATACTTAATAATAGCACAAGGAATTTTAAACTACTGAAGTAAACCTTTTATTTGTTTTGCATTTATAACACACACGCATATTCCTCTTACCTGATCCAGCCCTCAATGAGGAAGGCAGTCACCGCCTTATTCACATGCATGTCGCCCCCTTGCCCACAGCTCCTACTCTCAGCCTCGCTGCCCGTGAAGCCTGTGCTACTATCCTGGGTGGGCAGGGTGGACCTTCCTGTGGACAGCGGCACCAGATGTGTTTGGAGCCCTAGAGCACACTGCTGCCTCACTGCCAGTGGGCCCTGAGTGGCCAAACTCCCACAGACGCCAGAGAGAAGCTGCTTTTGCAAAGGCACCTGGTGCCCGGCACAGTGGAATGTCCCTCACACAGCACCTTACCCTGCCTGCACACAGCCCAGTGTCTCCGGGGCAGCCTCAGCGCTCAGGCCCTTGCTGCGCATGTGGCGTTGCCATGGCTGAAGCAGGAGCCAGTAACAGTCCCTTTGTTGCTGACCACTACACCCTTAACTGGTTGCTATCAAACTTGAATTTGCACACGTAGCAGGGTCTCCCCTGTGGGTGAGAGCCCCATCAGCTACCTGGGCTCCCACCTGCAGGGGTGCACCATGACCAACCAGGGCTGCGAGTCCCACAACTGAGTGAACTCTCAGCCCCAGTAGTTGCTGACTCTGTCCTGACAGCACAGGGACCCAGAGTCCCACAGCAACAGATGCTGGGTTCCAGCAGCTGCAGGGTATGGCTGTGATTTCCAAGCCATGGGGGTCCGTGAAACCCCTAGGGCTAGATAGCAACTGCTGTGGTCTCCCAGCTGTGGGGGTGCATGAAACCCCAACAGCTGGGAGATTCC